AACCATTAAAGTGTTAGGAGTTTATCATATTAAAAGTTATTGTACTAAAAGTTAGCTAAAGAGGGATAGGGATATAGTTAGTTTAGTTCATGGTAGAGCACTCACCGAGCATACATAAGGTCCTGGTTTTGAGAGGACACATACACATACATACAACCCTCCCCAAGAAATAAATGGATCATAGTTAATCATTTTTACAGTTTTGAGCTACCTACTGTCACATCTACTAAATCCAAATTATTATGAACTGCTTTCCAACAGTCCAAAAATCTAAAGGTTTCTAAAAACTTATTAAATAAAAGAATTTAAATATAAATTGTAAAAGTAAATATTTTTAAAAATCGCCTGCAATTTTATTGTGATCCTTACTAGTTATATATATTTTTTCTGAGGAAAAAAAACACTTTTAAAATGACATTTACCATTACTACTGCCAATAGACAGAAATAAGCATGGTCGTCATGGCATAAGGTAATATCTACACTGCAGGCTATGTCCTACTGCTGAAGGGCTTACGATAACCATCACACTTTATCCCAGAGGCATTAAGTCACATTCTGTTTCACCCCCATCTGAGAGCCAATAGCAGCACACTCTGTCACAGGCACTGAATAAAGGGGTACTGAAGATAAGCTTGGCACACCAGGGAAACACTTTAGTTAAATGAATCCACGGCATCAGGAGATTAAGCAACATTTACTGCACTTCGATCACCACTCTGAAGCTATTCTGTGTGCCTCATCGATGTATTGTCTGGTGCTGTCACTCTTTGCTTCAACTCTAAGTCAACGAAGGAGACCAAAAGCTCAAGCATATGCCGAGTCTGACCAATCAATCTAAGCCATTCAGCAGGACACACTGCTCAGGTCTAAGTCTGTCATCTGCCTTAGAGAATAACCTATGCGAAGCTAGAATGCAGGGTTCTTCCTTTCCTTTCCTCTCCTGGAGACGGCTGTGTGGAAGATTTATGTGGAAGGCAGGGACCACCGAACTCTGCCTTTACTGTGCTTTGAGAATCCCTGGCTGCTTTTACTTTTGCTTATGTTGGGTGGTGTGTTGGTGTCTTACAGGAATCCCGGTAAGAGGAGAGCAAGGCGTTCCTGGTCCACCAGGCCCAGCGGGACCCCGAGGACACCCAGGTCCCTCAGGACCTCCAGGAAAGCCAGGCTATGGAAGCCCTGGGCTCCAAGGAGAGCCAGGGTTGCCAGGACCACCAGGAATATCGGCCACTGGGAAGCCAGGCCTGCCTGGCCTGCCAGGAAAACCAGGGGTGAGAGGGCCACATGGACACAAAGGAGACATTGGACCAGCTGGCTTACCAGGACCTCGGGGCCCTCCAGGACCACCTGGGCTCCCTGGCCCAGCTGGAATTTCTGTGTCAGGAAAACCTGGACAGCAGGGACTTACAGGTGCCCCGGGACCCAGGGGCTTTCCTGGAGAAAAGGGGGCACCTGGAGCCCGTGGTGTGAACGGACAGAAAGGGGAAACAGGATATGGTGCTCCTGGCCGTCCAGGTGAGAGAGGTCTTCCAGGCCCTCAGGGTCCCACAGGACCCCCTGGCCCTCCTGGAGTGGGACGAAGAGGTGAAAATGGTTTTCCAGGACAGCCAGGAATCAAAGGTGATCGGGGGTTCCCAGGAGAAAGGGGACCATCAGGTCCACCAGGACCCCAAGGGCCTCCTGGGAAAGAGGGACGAGAAGGTGTTGGGAAGCCAGGAGTTGCCGGAGCCCCAGGTGAGCCAGGTACCCCAGGAGAAAAAGGCCACCCGGGAGCTCCAGGAATAGCTGGGCCTCCAGGAGCTCCCGGCTTTGGGAAACCAGGCTTGCCAGGTTTGAGGGGACAAAGGGGGCCAGCTGGTCTTCCTGGGGCTCCAGGGGCCAAAGGCGAACAAGGGCCAGCCGGTCATCCTGGGGAGGCAGGTCTGACTGGATCCCCAGGAAATGTGGGACCCCAAGGACCAAAAGGGACCCCAGGCAACCCCGGTGTCCCAGGTCCTAAAGGCGAGGCGGGTCCAATGGGGCCTGTAGGCCCACCTGGGGGTAGAGGAGCAAGGGGTCCCCCTGGGTTAGACGGGAAAACAGGGTATCCTGGGGAGCCAGGTCTCAATGGCCCTAAGGGTAACCCAGGGCCACCAGGCCCAAAGGGTGATCCTGGAGTGGGAGGACCCCCTGGTCCCCAAGGCCCTGCTGGCCCTGCAGGAGCTAAGGGACTTCCTGGACACAACGGTGAGGCAGGTCCAAGAGGTGAACCGGGAACACCAGGTAGCAGGGGTCCCATTGGGCCGCCAGGCACCCCAGGGTTCCCTGGAGCTAAGGGTGTCCCTGGAAACCCTGGTCCTCCCGGCCCAGCTGGCATAGCGACTAAGGGCCTCAGTGGGCCCACAGGTCCTCCAGGCCCTCCTGGTCCAAGAGGACACAGTGGAGAGCCTGGTCTCCCAGGTCCCCCGGGTCCCCCAGGACCCCCTGGCCAAGGAGTCATGCCTGATGGCTTCATAAAGGCGGGCCAAAGGCCCAGGCTTTCTGGGACGCCTCTTGTCAGTGCGAACCATGGAGTAACAGGGGTGCCCGTGTCTGCTTTCACAGTTGTCCTCTCCAAAGCTTACCCAGCTGTAGGCGCCCCCATCCCATTCGATGAGATTCTGTATAACAGGCAGCATCATTATGACCCGAGGACTGGAATCTTCACCTGTAAGATCCCAGGCATATACTATTTCTCCTATCACGTGCACGTGAAGGGGACTCACGTTTGGGTAGGACTGTATAAGAACGGCAACCCCACAATGTACACATATGACGAGTACAGCAAAGGCTACCTGGATCAGGCTTCGGGGAGCGCAATCATGGAGCTCACAGAAAACGACCAGGTGTGGCTGCAGCTGCCCAATGCGGAGTCAAACGGCCTCTATTCCTCTGAATATGTCCACTCCTCCTTCTCTGGGTTCCTAGTGGCGCCCATGTGAGCACTAAGACCAAGCTCATCTAAATCCTCTGCTTGGAAAGGCTTTCCCCCAGCTCCATCGCGCCCACCCTGGAGATGCATATGGAGGTAGGCTAAAAGTAATGTGAACAATCTAAATCTCTATTGTACTCCGAGGCCACGTTTCCTCCTACAAAAGTAAGCAGCAACGGCGACCATGTGAGGACTCTCTTGAGCACTCAGCAGGCCTAGAGTCCCCCCCCCCCCAATCCCGGGGTGTGTGTGTGTCTGTGAATTCCCTTAATATTTAAAATTTTTACCATAAGTTAAAAAAAAAACTTACAAAACCAGAAATAAGGTTCTAATTCACCAAGAATTTCATGTCAGAAGTGCAGCATTTCTTTCTTTCTTTCTTTCTTTTTTTTTTAAAGGCTGTTTTTAATAATAGGAAAACTAGGAAACATGCAGGAAGTATCACATAATTTTATATTAAGTACTTGAATACTCAAATGCAAATGACCCTGCATAGCCTGGGACATCTCTGATGGTGCATCACGGTGGCTCATACAGCCCCTGTCATCAATGTCATCAATATAAATTCAAAAGCACAGGTGCATAACACTTTCTAAAGCTCTCACAAGAAACCAAAATACTGCATTAAAATGAACTTGAAGTATAAGGGGCTTCGTCACAAACCTTTTCAAGCTTCTCTGCAACTGCAGGAAGTCCACATGCTTGGTGCAACTCGGAAACAGGTGTCCGACCTAGTCCTGTGTCTGTCACACAGGGCCGTCACTCTGACTTAATTTTGCCCCATTTTTGTAAGATGACTCTATGGGCTTACAGAGCAGTAGCAAGGAACGCCTTCCATTCCAGGGAAAGTTTAATTAACACTAAAGCTTTCACAATCAGACTGGGAACGAAAAGACTTTATTTATTTATGCTCTGTACTGTATTGTTACATTACTGTTTAAGACTGTTACGCTGTACCTCACTTATGGAAGCATACAGTGTTTAATCTACTTGTTATTACAAAGCAATAAAATGACATGAACAGACTTTTCTTCTACGCTGAACTCACTTCAAGGCCAACAGCTGGCTGTTCTTAGGCGTGCTTTTCCTTGGATAAAGCTAATGAGAAAAAGTAATGAAGCAGTCGACAACTTCACAATTGTCATGGGTTTGTCCCTCTGTGAAGACGGGCACTGCATACACCATGTACTATGGAGAAGTTACAAAATGGCCTCTGTGAACCAGCACCAAGGCTGATGAGCACACACAGCAAAATAAAAATATACAAACGCCACTGTAAAACACTGGTTTTGTCTTGGAGGGAGGGAAGTTGTCAGAGAAATATCAAATTGGAACAAACACCCTGCAATTATTATTTACGGCCTTAGCATATTTTAGTCATAATATTTAGAATCATTTTGATGGCTTGATTTACTGAAAGGAAGGCATGTAATTTTTTGGTGTCAATCAAAAGGCAACATATTTCAAAACTTAAAACCCTGCTGAATCCATCAGCCCAGTTGTTAATCAAGCCAGCTTGACTCGGTCACTGGGGTTACGGAACATAAAGGCTATTTACTCCTTTGAGTAAGACACTCTGTAAACCCGCACCGGAAAGCAGAAAGCCCTAGCGTGAGGTGGGCAGTAGCTCTGTCCCCACTCTGGGTCAACCACTCCAATTCCTTAAACAAAGAGAATAGAAGGAAACTTATCAGTGGGTACTTCATCGTCTGTCTGTCACTACTACACTGAGGGTTCAGGTAGCACCAGCTCCCACTCCGAAGCCACGGAACAAGGACTGGGACCTTGATTCTAGGGAACGCCCTTCAGCCCAGGACGGCTGCACTGGGAGGCATGGGAAGGCAGGCAGCAGAGCAGACTGGCTCAGACTCCTGACAACTACAACCACAGAGCAGATGAACACAGAGGTACCGGACTGACTTCATAGTAAACATTTTTACCAGAGCAAATCCCAAGTGAGGAGTAGAGCAAAAGAGGCAGCGTCAATCTCATTCAGCAGACATGGGGCGGTTAAGAACCTCTACCAGGAAGCCCCTCTTCACGTTACTCACCCTTAAAGGCTGACATTTTAAAATTGTGTTGTATACCAGCAACTACATCCTTCCAAAAATCAAATGTTTTTTGACCTCTGTTCTGCTAAAAAAAGAAATTTCCAAATGTAACAAGTGCAGTGAATTCTGTTTTTAAGCACAGTGGTAAGCTACAGCAAATAATTACATGTATTGACTCTAAGGTAGGAATTCAGGTTATACCAAACATGACAGATTAATACAGAACTATTCCTCAAAACAAAATCACTGCTGCAATAAATAAATATCACTAAGTATTAATGCAGTTCACCTAGCCCAAATAATGTAAAAATGTCCACTCCTACAGCCTAAAGTTACAGAATATTTTGACATACTAGAAAAATGCCAAGCTCTATAGCTTCTGGAACAATGGAATGTGCTACTCCATGCATGATGGTACCAACAAGACCCAAGCAGGGTAGTTCGGAATTCACCGTCCACTTAACCTGTACTTCCACATCCAGAGCTGTAACTCACTGAGCAGCACCCGGACGGTGCAAAGTCTGAGACAGAAATCATCTTATGGAGAACTTTGCAAGCTAGCAAAAAATTTACACTCAACTATACTCTACAGCCCTTTGTTCCATAGAAATATCAGCAGTGCCTACTTTCTATATGGGAAAAATTATTAGATATTTATATATAATTATACACATTGTAGAATACTACAGGCTGGTGAGCTGGGGTCAAGGTCAGCAGTAGAGCCCTTGCCTAGAAGTGGAAGGACCTGGGTTCCATTCCCAGGCCTGGGGGGCAGGGGAACACTTGATAGTTTCTCCCCATTGGTGTAAGAGAATAAACAGGTTCCACTTCGTGCTGATAAAAACGACAGTGATGGGATATGACTCAGTGGTGATGTCCTTGCATACTCTAGGCACTGAGTAAAATCCTCAGCACCTAAACCTACCCAAACCAAACCAATCATCTCTCCTGCTCAACATAAACTTTCATGAATGCATGACTGTAATTCTCATTTCAATAATAAGCCACTTGTACATTTGATTGTGGTTTTAAAACACAAGCATTACGGGCACACAAACCGAGTTATATTTGTAGGTCTTAAGTTTAAGTATAAATTGTCAAACTAAAGATTTATTTTATCTGGACAGTCACAAAGTAAATGATAAATTAAAAAAAAAATCGCTTCATTTTCCTGGTTTGACATTTAGACTACATCAAGACTCATGGAATTTTTCTTAATTACTTGTACTTTTTTTTAATCTGCTAATGAAAGCAAGAAAATATTTGTCCAGAGCGTATCTTTTGTATCCTTTCTCTAGACGTTACACGCCCTCCCTCCTGGAGAAGAGAGTGACTTTTGCCTAACCAAATATTTTTTTAAAGGGTACTCTTAAATTTTCTAAAAACATTTTCGACAAATTCACCATGTTTGCTTCCCCAGTCACCTCTGAAACCACCAAAAGCAAACAAAATGACACCTCAACTTGAAAGCTGCCCGTGGCTAACCTCTCTTACAACTAAATGCAGTGTTTTAAAGCCGAGTGCCCGCTCACCTTCGTTAAGGAGTCCACCACTCTGGCACACAGAAGAGCCCCCGGCAGGTCAAAGTAGTTATCATAGAAGTAACACTTTCCTAAAACACACAAACAGAAAAGAATAAACACCCCTGCTTGTGGCACAGAGAGAAACCTGTCTGAAGGAAGCCTGGGTGCTCGTTTATCTGAAAAGCCTCTGCTTTCCCCTACCCCATGTGTAGGAGGCAGGGCAAGAGGCCTGAGTGTCTGCTGTGTGTCTGCAAGTGGACGCCAGGTGACAGCTGGTGTCATCCCTCACGCACCGTCCACCGTTTGTCTGTAAGGCAGGGTCAGGCACTGGCCTGGAACTTGTCACGTAGGCCAGGCCGACTGGCCTGGGAACACCAGGTTCCATGGGTTTGCACCTCCGAGCACTGGGATTACAAGTAGAGACGGCACAGTGCCAGGGTTTTCATCGTAACTTCGGGGGTTTAACTTAGGTACTCTCTAGCCTTTTTAATTTTTATTTTGGGGATGCTAAACTTGTGCTGCACATGTCCTTGAACAATGCAGCACACATTGGTACTGTTAGCTGGAAATGGAGAGAATTTTCCACAGTAATTTTAGTGAAAAGACCCTTTTCAAATTAGCATTACTACAGGCTGTCCTTTTTTTCATATTTTAAATATTCCATATTCTATTTATTTTTATTGAGAGTGTCTAAGTGTTTAATCTGCAGGTAGATACGCACTACATGGGTACCTGGTGCCTGTGGAAACCAGAACAGGATGTCAGAGCCCCTGGGACTTGAGTGACAGGCAGTTGTGACCTGCCGTGTGGATGCAGGGAACTGAACCCAGACCCTGGGCTAGAGTAAGTGCTCCTAACTGCTGAGCCATCTCTCCAGTCCCCACCCCTATCTTCTGAGAATGTTTAAGCTCTAATGACCCTAAAAGAAAGCTGAGACAAGACATCTGTAAGTTAAGCATTTTATTAAAACACATTTCAGTTGCAAGATAATATATAACCTCAAGAAAGGATACATTATCAGTATAAAATGCAACATGAGGAAACATCAATATACTGTTAATATTGCCAAATTTCAAAAAGTTAAATAATCTAACATCAGAGTCCCAGGAAATGTTCCCTGTAAACTGCCCTAATTAATCCATGTAGAATACTGGAGAGGAAAACTTGAGAACAGCCAGGGTAATGACAGGGATAAAAACCATGCCATGTGAATGTCTGGTGGCTGGACCGGAAATCTCAACAGTATGGGACAAGTCCACTCCGGGTCTCCTGGGAGACAAGGATGAAGGCTTATTCTGTATGGTCTCGGGGTAAATTAAGCCCTTCCTTGTCCATTTGCCATCTCTGGATTCCATGTCCCAGGCAACACTTCTGCTGGTCCATGACACATCTGACTCCAGCTGAGCTGCTGAGCAGCTGTCACTAACAGAGTCAGGTGCTTTCTCCAAGGCCCCGGGCCACATGGCCCAGGAGGTCAACTCCACTAACAAGCGAGGAAGGCACCCTGACCTTTCTCTCCAGTGAAACCCAGAGCTCCCTGCTCCTTCTTTTTATAAGATTTAACTTTACCAACCACATGCTCTGACTGCGCTTGAACGCAAGCACAGCCTAACTGCGTGACGGAACCACTGGATCTTCTTTCCTCCCTCCTTCTCCACGCTTCTACATTTTTATCTGTGGAGTGACACAAGGCTCTGCTTAGGGGCATGCACTGTTCATCCAGAGGTCTGACCTGAGATCCAGCACTCAGGGTGGCTCCACCCAAACACCTGTAACTCCAGCTCCAGGGGATCTGACACCCCCTCCGCCCTCTGTGTGCAGCCGTTTTGAAGAGGCAGCCCTTCATCGTGTATCAGTCTCACGTTCCAGGCTCTGCACACCTGCATGGCAATTCTGCCCAACAGACCTGACAGGGACGAGACCAAGCATGTCTTTTTTGGGGACTGCAGCAGCAGCAGCTGTCACTTTGAAGCAACAGTGCCCTCTGGTGGGAAAGTAGTGAACAAACAAGCCTGTCACAACTGGGTACCAGCTCTTTCTCAGAGCCAGGGAATATTTTACCTTTAAAAAATAGTCCAGATTTTGAACAAATTTCCAAGTGAAACACTTAGCTAAGAGCCTAGCGTTCCTTAGGAAAGGGAAGAAATTACTCAACAAGGCATTTTTGTCACTGGGAATTGAATGTATAACTTCGCATATGCTAGGCAGCCTCTGTCTACCAGTGGGCGTAATCCCAGCCCCCGACAACAATGACAACAATTTATTGTCATTACTTGGGAAGAAAGCTTTCGACTGAGATGCACAAAAGCACCGTATACTGAGCTCCAGCATACTGTCTTTTTTTTTTTTTTTTTATAAATATACTTTGTCAAAAAAATACTCATGTCTTCTAATACTTTCAACTCGGCAGAGGACGTGAACAAAACATCCCCAAAAGAAGGCAAATATAACAAGGCAACACAATAGTAAGGAATAAATGTTAACACTTTCCAGGTTATCTATCACATGTCTGGAGGGGAAAGGGCACCTGGTAGGAAGAGCAGGGGTAAAGGCAGAGAGAACAAAGAAACAGCATCATTTTAATGATGACTTTCCACGAATAAAAAGAGGTCTTAACCACTTCAAATCAACCCACCCACACCCATGTCAGTGGATAATCTCTGAAATGTTTCTTCATGCTTCACTCTGGTGAAGCTCTTTACACAGACTTGAGGCAGAGGCAGGAGACTGTCAGTGAAGAGGCAGGGTCTAGGGAACAGGAGTGGCCTGGCAGTGGAAATAAGAAGACCCAGGGGACAGAGAAACTGAGGATGGAGCATGTAACTGCTGCATAAAGAACCAAGCCCAGCTAAGGGGTGCATCATCTCCAGGACAACCCAGCATCTTCCTAAGGGGTGCATCATCTCCAGGACAACCCAGCATCTTCCTAAGGGATGCATCATCTCCAGGACAACCCAGCATCTTCCTAAGGGATGCATCATCTCCAGGACAACCTTTCTACTCCAGAACAAACAGGGGGAAAAGGAGATTCGACAAAATCGTCCTCACAGCACTGACAGTTTGGGAAATGCACTCTGGTCCAATGCCAAACAGAGCAGACACACCTGAAAAGTAAATACTGCTGCTATAAAGCCAGAGCCATTCCTCTGGATACCTTGCTTGGCCAGAGGGACAGCCAGGCCAAAAGGCAGAGTGGGTGGCAGGGAAGTCCTACCTGAGCAGCAAGGAATGTCGACGTTCGATGCAGAGTGTCTGTCTGTCGCACAGTGCCTCCAGTCCTTCTTGCCGTACGTCTCCACCAGCTCCTCTGGAGTCATCATCCTGGTGCCGTGGCTTGCCCTGTGGGGGAGGACTGCTCATGACCAGTTCCCCTGATTGCCCCTTCAATAACAACGGGGATACTGATCCCCATCCCGCTGGAGTTAACATAGCTTTGATTTTCCTTTTTCTTGAGACAAGATCTTGGTTATATAGCCCAGGCTGGCCTCGAACTTGTGATCATCCTGCCTCAGCCACCTGAGTGCTACCATGGGCCGCCATGTCCAAATAGTGTTTCTCTTTGTGTATATTTGATTTTTCACTGGGCTCATCTAGTCTGGTCTGAGATTCCAGAAACATTTTATGGCTATAGTATAACCAAGATACTAGGCCTTTAAGACAGGAAACAGTTGCCTAGGCAACAGAAGTACAGTAGGCCAGTTCTAAGGTCATCATCTGGGTGTTCTGGGGTCCCTACCACAGCTGTGGCTCTTCCAATTCTAGCCCGCCCACTTGCAAGTGATGAGGAGTTGCCCTAGCTGAGGCCATTGACGCAGCCCTTAGAGCCGTGCTGTCGTCAAAAGATGAGACAAAGCCGGCATCCCAGCTCCTCAAGAGGGTAAGGCCACACGGCCACAAGTTCAAAGCCATTCTGGAAAACTTACAGAGAGGCCTTGTCTCAGACATAAAAGGAAAAGAGGATGCAGATTGGCGGTAGGGAACTAGTCTAGCGTATGTGTGGGCCCTGGATTCCATCCAAGCAAGAGCAAGCACGCATTCACCTGGAGCAATTAGGAGACAACCCTGTAGGCAGAGTGGGAAGGGGGCTTAGACAGCCGCGAGGAAGAGCGGGTCCCCAGGCGTGGAGGGCGCCTGGCACCAAGGGCCTGTGGAGATGAGGCTGGACAACCTTCCCACACAAGGACACACACACTGGAAGCACCCAGGTATGTGCACACAGAACGGGATGCTCAGAAATCCGCTCTTCCCGACTACAGCCTTGTTGGGGGCTCTTGCCAGGCAGAAAGGCTGGGAGCTGGTATTTTAAAGGGCTCACGATCAGAATATACAGGGTATTTCATTTTGGTGGGGAAAATGGAGAAATGAAGGAAGAGCTGGGTGTTGGTGGCACACACTTTTAATCCCAGCACTTGGGAGGCTGAGGCAGGTGGATCTCTGTGCAGCCTGGTCTACAGAACAAGTTCTAGGATAGGCTCCAAAGCTATAGAGAAACCCTGTCTCGAAAAACAAACAAACAACACCCCCCCACACACGAAGAACAAAAGAAAAAAGAAAGAAATGAAGGAAGGAACAAAGAATAGAGACTGAGTTCTTTCTGTAGAGGTTGGCCTTCAAAATGCGCTGTCAAGACTGAGGGGTCCTAGAGCCACACAAGAGCATGGAGGATGAAAGGAATCATCAAGGAGGGGAGGTGTACAAGAGAAACTTCTGGTTATTCAGAAGCTGAATTGACAGAGACAGGGACTAGGCAGACGACAGGCAGACAAGACACTAACAGCCAAGAACACTATTAAGTTGACCACAGACTTACAGATTAAAGGTAATGGAGATAGTATTGTTTACAGATAAACACACTCCCTAGTTGCCTGAAAAAAAATAACAGGCGAATAAATTACAAAATAGTAAGAGTAAGGCCATCCCTGCCCCTTTTACAAGTATCTTAGTGGAGAGGCTGGGGAAATACAACAGCACCTCATCACAAAGCAAATGATGTATCCAAAGTACCCAAAGGGGGAGTGTTTGCCCTCATTCTGTACTGAGTCTTCTTTGGCGAAGACCAACTGGGTATAAATAGTAACAGCACATTGCTCTGCCATGTTGGTGTGACCTTACTGTTAGCATGAGATGGGAAATAGATCTTGACTGCACGGTGCTTGCTGGAGACTCAGTAGTGACAGCAGCTATTTACTGACATTTCCATGCCCTGCTCAACCCTTGAGGGGTCTGCATGCACTCAGAGAGGAGGAATGGGAAGGAATCCAGAGCTTGGGGCTGACGAGATCCATAAGGAGCCTGCATGAGGGAAACAGGTATGGCCTAGTGGGGTATACACAGGCCATGGCCTAATGGGTATACACAGGCCATGGCCTAGTGGGTATACGTAGGCCATCAACCCCTACCCAGTATCCCTCTGCATCTTATCTAATCAAAGGATCTCTGATGTTATTCTAATTAGGAAAAAGGCAAGGCAATGTCATGAGACATGTTTTTAATCTACTGTATTCCCTGCAAATATTTCTAAGAAGTTAAAAGTAGTACAGAGCTGTTATCTGTCATCTGACTGACTAAAATACTATCCTCCTCTTGTAGATTAAGGACTATTCACTAGTAATAAAGTTTCCAGGAAGAGGTAAGACTCTAACCACAATCACATCAAATTACCTGAGCACACTGCCATCAGCTGCAAGTTTAATGAAGGTTCCATCTTCCAGATCCAACGCCAAACCCTTGCAACTAAAATGGAAAAGTCTGATTATCAACCAGCTCATATACTTAGTTAATCTCAGAGACAAAATTCTGCATTCTCTAACACTACAATGTTAAAAGAGATTTCCTCCTCACCTAAACAAAGAGTGTGTATCAATAGAGAGAACATCCAAGAACTGCAAAGTTGAGTATCACTTAAGAATGGGGGCAAAAAAGCAAGCAGCATGTTCAGCTTATGGAAAAAAAAAAACCCTAAATGAAGATTATCCTGAACCTTGTTAAAATATACAAATGTTTTCCGTTATCTAAAGCACATGGGCGGGTGACACCATTCAGTGGTAAAAGCGATGACTAAGCAGAGCTGACACCCTGAGTTCTATCCCCAGTTCCACCATGGAAGAGGGAACAGACTCCTGAAAGCTGACCCCTGACCTTCACACAGGTGTGCGGTCACAAAAGTAAAACCAGAACACATGTAAACAGATCCACAAGAATTCCACACACATTTACAATGCACAGGCTTTGAACCTACCTCCATATAATTCTACTTATAAAACTTAAACCTCTGGGCAGGGTATATTATTGAAAACCAGCAAAAGAAGTTCAAATACTAAGTTCTAGGTTCTTTATTATGAAACAACAACAAGAAACAAACCTTGTGGGATATGGACAAAATGTATAGATCCACTATTATGAATAATAACAGTGACTCAGCATGTTTTACCACAACCTGTCTAACAGAACAATTTACATTGGTGAAGCTTTGTGTTGCTTAAATGAGGACGAAAGCTTTGTGAAGTTAAGAGTCATAAATCAGGAAGGGAATGAACAATAAGAACCAGGAAGGAATATTTATTCAAATGTCCTAATCCAGTCACTTATTCTAACATGATGACTCCTCTTTCATGGCTCAGAATAACAAAGCAAACTTTTTCGTACAGACGTAAATTTTAGTTTTTAGTAACTTCTCAACCTCCTGTGAGTGACTGAAACTACACATAAATATGCTCCAAGTAGTCTCAAGCTAAAAGCCTGTTTCATATTAAATAAAGTCTAGACATGTTTCAAGCACAAAAGACTTTAAGCGATTAACACGAAGCGTCTAGTGTGGAATGAATTTTGTTCTTTGACTCAGTTTCACATTTCACTGTCCACCGTCACAGAAGAGGGAGCACTAAGACTTTATCAGCAACAATTAAGGGACAACAGCGGATGTACGGGCAGAGGTGGACTTACCAGAAATCCCAGTCCTGGGGCGTCAGAGTGAGCAACTCCTTATCATACCCTTTCTCCTTGACTAGGAACTGAGCAAAGCTGTTATAAATGAGCTGCAAATAAGGGAAGCAAACAGAGAGATTAACTATAACGTTTACTATTCACTTTTCATTTCACATGCCCGGGAAACCTACGGGAATCACTGATGGGGCCTGGTAGGAGGGAACATCTGTAATTGTGAAGTTCTACCTCTTAACACGCTTCCCGGGTGATCCGTTAGTCCCAGGGAGCCCTGAAATCGTATCATCAGCACACACCTATGTAACCAAAGACGGGCATTGATCTTATTCCCAGGTCCTAATGGACTGGCACTCCTCACTAAGACCTGACAATGCTCTGCAGCTACCAGACTGTCACCAGGACAAGAGGCATGCTGGCCACTCTATCATTAGCTCTCGCTTGGACGTTCAGTGCTACAAAGGGCCTGGGCTGAGTGGGACTCAGTGAGGTACACCCGGCCAGGCAGAGGAGTTAGGAACATGAGGCCTCTATCAGACACAAGGAGCCTGGTGTTTGTCTACACAAAGAGAACAACTAAGCGCAAACCAGGCGGGAAGCCTTTGGAAGCCAGATAAACCAAAGCTCTGGTTGTTGACAGACATGATTTCTCAACAGTTTTTTGTTTTGTTTTTTTTTTTTTTCTTTTTAAATGAAAATAGCCTTATTTAATAAGCAGCGTGACGCTGGGGCGGTGGCTCAGTGGGTGAATGCCTGCCGCACAAGCGTAAGGCCCTGAGTTCACATCCCCAGAGCCCTCATAAAATCTGGACATGACACCCATTTGTAACTTGAGCACTGGGGTTAAGCTAGTCCAACAGAAAGTGTGAGCCAAGTTCAGTGACACATTACTGTCTAGAAGGTATGGCGGAGCTGGGGAAGCCCAGGGCATGGTGGACCAGGCAGGTGTAAAGGCCAGGGGACCTGCACTCTGCTGCAGCTGGGGGTGTGTGTGGGGGGGCAGGTACTAGGAGATGACACCAGAGAAAGCAGAGACTCCCATCAAATAGAGCTGCTCTCTGTCTGAAAGCCCAGTAATGACAGACTCTGAGTGTGACTCCCGTCCACTGCAGTGTGACCCTCATCTGGGTCACACTACATATCAACAGTTCTAAATCACAGAGGTGACTACCTCTTAAAGTCACTAGGCTTGTAGGGCAGACAGAGGTCCTGGTGGGCTCCTATGCAGGGCTTTATTTTATTTTTACTCTTTTGAAACAGGATCTCACTAAATAGTCCTGACTGGCCTGAAGCTAGGAAGCCAGGAAGAGATCTCCTGCCTCTGCCTCTCTAATGCTGGGATTAAAGGGGCATGCACTACTCCATGCTCAGCTCCGACAGGATTCTTGAAGCCTAGGAACCATAGACATACAGGTTGAAAAAAATTTTTTTAAATGTACCGAGTCACACCAAGGTTCAAAGTAACTATAATGAACAGTAAAAGATTACCTGTCATGATCCTGTCTATAAGGTCTATGGCCAGCCTGGGCTTAACAGATGTAAAGCTTAGAGAGGCACTTGGCACATAGGCAAATCTGACAGAAGCATTTGCTATTGTTATCAGTCCTTTGCTAGTAATAAACCAAAACCACGGCTGCTGTAACACTGTGACTCCTGCCCATTTCCACTGTCTAAACCGACAACACAGCTTTGGCTTCCACTAGAACCTGCCTAATAAAGAATGACCAGGTAAACCCAAATGTTAGATTACTAGCAAATAAATAAGTTTTGCTTTGTTTTTCTGATAAGCGTGTCCCATATAATAGCTGGGGTGTTCACAACACCAGAAATGTTTCTGTAACCTGGGATTCAAATGAACCGTGTGCCCTGTGTTTTAATTTGCTAAACCTGGCAACTCGAGAATCCTGCTGTGTTGGAAAATGAGGCAATGTCCCCAAAATGGAAAGGTTTCAAATTAGTTCAGATTTCCGACTTAATGAATTCGAACAGAGGTCCACTTGGTTAACCTTGGGAAGACTGGAGTGTGGCTACTCCTTCAGATGGGGCACTCATTCTCAATGTCAGACACCCATTCTCTGGAGAATGGGGAGTGGGTGTCACCTGGTCTTTCCATCTACCAGCCCAAAGAACACAGGTGTCAAGTGTCATGTCCCCTGGGATGCTGTTCCTGAGCCCTGGGGGAAGGGACACAGATAGGCTCATGTTTGCCTAACACAATGCACTTGTTACATGCCCTCGCTGAGAAAATCCCTGATTCCTCTAGAAGCGTCTGCAGTCTCTAACTTTCACAACATTTGCCTTTGCTGGACTTTGCTTGCTCCTTTCGCCTGTCACCTTCCAATTCCAACCGCATGTGGACACCCTGCCCTGGGCCTCTCATCTGCACTTTAAGAGGGTCTGGGTGTGAGAAATGAGAACTCAAGCCTCAGCATCATGCTGAGTGACCCAGAGATATCAGGGTCTGCTAAGGACTTAACCCTTCTGTGCCCCATGGTTCCCATCTCTTACTAGTGACACCCAGAGGTCCTCCAGAGAGACTGTAATGCTGTTCCAGGGGTTTGAAAGGCATGGAAGGAAGGAAAATCACACCCAAACATCTATGCGAAGGAGTAGCCAAAGGATGGGGACTTAAAGAAATGCCTTTGAGCTGTCACTATGAGGAAGGACGTGAGATCTGTGTCACCGGAAAGCAGGGAACACACACTTAAAAAAAAAAAAAAAAAAAAAAAAAAAAAAAAGCATCTGCATACAGAAAGCACACCCAAGCGATTCAGGAGCCCCGTTTTTTATTTCTGAGTACCCCACCAATTGGGGCACTGACAGGATTACACTGAAAGGCTCGGGTCTGCTCTAGTGATCCACAGCTCTACCCAATCAGGGTGCAAACCGTAACAGCAAACGATTGTTCTTTTTCCAGGGACAAGCTCTCAGCATCATACACCCACTGCCTACTCAATCCTGCCAAGGGTAACTGAGAAGGAACCCAGGTTATTTGGCCAGCATCACAGGGATAGACACTTGGAGCTAGTGTCCCGGACTCGGTAATCTAGTTGCAGGGTCCTGCTTAGATCTTTCCTGGTAATACTGTTAATTCTTCAGTTTCTTGTGAAACCAAAGGGTCAGAGAAAGTAGGACAACTAAGATGAGGGTACAAGTCTACAAACACAGCATTCGGGGCAACGAGGGCCCAGATTCCGCTGAGATTACACCTTTATTTAAACCGCACAGAGCAGGTAGCACGATACATGTTCGCTTTCCCCTCTTGGAAAGGACAAAAATAGGGCTAAAACTGTAACGACTTTTCGGCTGGCGTTTCTTTCAGTGCTATTACACAGTATCTCCGTAAATGCACTGTTTAAACTCTGACAGGTGGTTATGTGGGCGTGCAAACGGAAAGATGCAACCACGTTTCCTACAAGTCCCAAACAAGTGGCTGTGCCCACTCAGCCGGTGCCCAGAGGAGTAGGAAGGAAATGCTAGGGCCTCGGACCAGCAATCGACACCCAAAGTCCCTCGACCCAGGCTTCCCGGTGCCCTCAGGCCGGCTCCTGCGCTCCACTTTGCGCTACCTCCTGCCCCAGGTTTCCTCCTCGGCCCCCGAGAGGCCCTGAACCCACACTTCCTCCCAGCGCCCCGGGACCGACGACTCTGCGCAGCCGCCGAGGAGGCCGTGCTACCCGCGCCACTCACCCGGGCGCTCTCGGGCAGGTTATAGCGGCACAGCGTGTGGTCAAGATCGAAGCCCACCACGTCGCAGGCGGCCAGGGAGAAGGGCTGAGCCATGGCTGCGCCGTGGACCGGGTGCCCAGGCCGGAAGGCTCGCAGGCAGGGAGGGGGCGGGGCAGGCTGGAAGGGCGGGGCCTGGCCCGACGTAGCGAGGCTGGAAGGGCGGGGCGTGCCGTGGCAGGGCGGGGCCGGCCCCAAGGCTCCGCCCCTTCCGCGGCCCGCCCACCTCCCCGGAACGCCAGCGCTGCGGGAGCTGGTGTCCTCCTAGGACCCTGCTGCGAGCAAATGTCCCCTAAGATTACTCAGAACTACTAGTGCAACCCCCGATCGATCATCTTTCAAGTGCCACACAATTAAGCGATCTCAGTGACACCTCATCCTTTCTTCTTGACTGTGGAATAGTGTGAAGTAAATATGCACAAAGAAATAGCTGTTGGACTCCTTTAGCATGCTTGGTAGTTTTGCCTTTTGTTTGTTTTTTGTTTTTGTTTTTGTTTGTTTTGTGTTTTGGTCTGTGTGATTTTTGTGTGTCCCGTCAACAGGTTTTTCCTCTATTATTTATGAAAGGCTCTCCTTACATCACTTGGAATGCGGTAGACAATATATTAGACATTATCAAGGACCACTTTGCTAAGACTCTAAAGCTGGTGGTTATTTGACGATCCTGCTTTTAGCTGAGCTTTTCTACGAAGACATCAAAACAAAAACCTTGTTTATGAATAGGGTATACTACACAAGAAACCTTCTGCAAGCAGGGAGCACAAAGTGATCTGAGTGGTGGACGATTTGCTCATTATATATAATTTTAGATGGAGAAAAGCTAATCCAGTTAGGACAAAGGATGCCAGAGACATTGACCTCTTCCCGCCTCTGTGTGTGAAAAAAAATTAGTATATTAAGGTCTCTATCTCACAGCCCTTCGTTTAAAAGAAAAAAGAACACCTATCTATTATCTGTATACTCTTGCTCTAAATTTAAGAGAACGCTTTGTCTAATGAGAAGGAATAATCGGTACGACATAATGATACAACCGATTGAGAATTCCATTTGACCCCTAGATACTCTTAGGAGATGGCTAGACCAGTCAAGGGACTAACGTAGTCCAGTAGACAGTGCAGTTGGTTAGGATGCTTGCAACACCTAGTGGACTCATTTGAAAACGAATTATTAGCTTTCCTGCCATAACAGGCCTCAAACAATTCTGGGCTAGGAATAGGATAAGATCCTCTAGAAAACGGAGCAGCTCACAAGAGCATACGGGCCACTGAGACCATTGTTCTCTTGCTGCATCTGTGGTCAATGAAACACGAGCATGAGACTCAACGGGTCCACGTGGAGTTTACTGGTGGAGAGGAGAGAAAGGGGGCTAGCTGGTGGTCAACCGAAAGCGAGGGAGAGGGAGAGAGACAGAGACAGAGAGACAGAGACAGAGAGCAGAGAACAAAAGACTAGTTAGTACTCATGGACCCCTGGGCTGACCAGGGTACTGCCTGAATGCATTCTGCCAGATGACAGGGGCAGGCCAGCGTAATGCCTGAATCCGGACCCCCCATTCTTTACTGTGTGTGAAGAAAGGGAGGGATTGTTTTGTATCACACCCATACAGGAAAAGTGGGGGTTGGGGTCGTTGAGTAGGACACAGGCCTCCTAGCATGGGCTTTGACTCAGGAGTTAGGGTGACACGAGGTCACAGTCAAGGAAGACTCTACTGAATTAATAGCTCTGGGTTCTGTCTCTCAAATTCAAGGGCAGGAGACGGGAGGGAAGGTTTAGGAAGGAGTTGTATTCTAGGATTCTAGGTGGGAGTTTAAGAGAAGGGGGAAGGCAGAGCTTCCCTGTCACTGAAGCAGGTCCCGGGGATGGGGCAATTTTCATAGAACTGATGGCAGCAGCTGGAGGAGACCTGGGGAGGAAGGCGAGTTGCTCCATTCATTGGGCTCATCCCTGACCTGTCCAGGTGCTGCTCAGTTTGGTCCATGCCATCATTTACAGCACCCAGACAGTGGTGCTCATCTGGGTACTACAGAGGTGACAGACCAGAGCCACAGGCCCCTTGTGCCTTCCTGGACTCCTGGCCTCTGTCGGCTACAGAACCAAAGACCTTTTGTTTTTTACACCGGGCCAGGGACAAAACTCTTTTGAGGTCCTTGCTGGACTAGTTTCTGTTCCTTGTTCTTATCAACAAACCTTCCTTCATGAGTGGGAAGCACCGACCTCCACATGCTTCTCCGAATCTTCAGTGAAAGGCCTACCGAATCCGACTTCCGCTTTAATTTAAACTTGAAGGCTGTAGGTCTCCTTAGAAAAGACTTCATGTACTCGTGTGTGTGTGTGTGTGTGTGTGTGTGTGTGTGTGTGTGTGTGTGTGTTACTCTGCACTTTAGAGATTCTCTTCCTGTGGTCAGTGATCCAGCACTCATGGCTAGGACTGTTAAAAGACTGGTTTCTTCCTGGCATTAAGTAAATTCCTTGGAATCCACAAAGATGACCTCCAACTAAGACCCTAAGCAGTGGAGAGGATACCGGAACTAGCCTTGCCCTATAATCAGATTGATAACTACCTATAGTGTCATCGTAGAATCTTCATCTAGCAACTGATGGAGGCAATGTGGAAATCCATAGCTGAGCACTGGGCCAAGCTTCCAGAGTTCAAAGACTGGGAGGATAGATAATATGAGCAAAGGGTCCAAGACCATTTTGGGGTGACCCACAGAGACAGCTGACCTGAGCTAGTGGGAGCCCACTGACTCTGGACTGACAGCTGTGTAATCTGCATGGAACCAAACATGGCCCTTTGAATGTAGGTGACAGTTGTGTGGCGTGGGCAGTCTGCGAGGCCACTGGCAGTGGCTCCAGGATGCCTAGTGCTTGCACTGGCTTTTTGGAGCCCTTTCTCTTTGGAGGGATACCTTGCTCAGCCTAGATATGGGAGAGGGGGCGTTGGTCCTGCTCAAAGAGATGTGCCAGGCTTTGTTGACTCCCCATGGGTAGCTTTACCCTCTCTGAGGAGTAGGTGGGGTGGTGGGAAGGTGAAGAGTCAGAGGAGCGGAGGGAGTGGGAACTGGGATTGGTATGTAAAATGAGAAAAGATTATTTTAAAATACAAGAATCAAAAAAAAAATTAAAGATTGGTTTCTTGATGACTTAGCAGAAGCTTCCCTTTACAAACTCCCCTGAATGTTCTGAACCAGAGACAAAAAATTCTTTAGAGGAAAGAGAACATCTTCAAGAGAAAGACACCCCCATCTGTAACAGGTGGCTCCAAGCTGGAATTGGCCATGAGACGTGTTCAGCAGCCATCCAATAACAACCCAACACTTGCCGATCAGCCAGCATCTTATTTCTGATATCACTCATGTCCACTCAGAGAGCCCTTGTACTGTTTGCTGTTGTCCATATTATTTCACTTGGTGAAGAATTTTACTAGTTGCTCGGTTTCTTCACTGAAGACTGTGGTCTTGAGCCCCGCCCACCTTTTGCTGTCCACTGTCCCAAACCTCACCTTGCCTCCTCTGAGGCAAACTTTAATAAATCACAAATAATATGTGACCACATATGAGTTTACAATGTTCTCTTAGCATATAAATTGCAAACATAATTTTTCAAATGTTCTTTTATACTGAGAGGTACACGGTCTCTCATTAGGTTAAAATGTACTTTTTTCTCAGTACGTCTATTTAAGCACTGGAACATTCAGCATTTTATATGCCTTAAGATAACCAACATGTTCTCTTCCATACATATCTTGATTAAATTGTATTATCAACCTTTATTTAGAAAGGATGATAACATTTACAACTACTTTTTAATCTTTATGGCATCTCAATACTAGCTATTCAGCTAAGAAAAAAAAAACACTCTTGCAGTACTGGGAATTGCCACGAGGTGGCAGTAGCTCTTCATGGGACTATTTTCCATTTTCTTTGCGCTCTTTAGGTCTTTACATTTCTTAATTAAAAACCATTTTTATCTTGGGGACTCTGGTTCTGATATTGCAGCAAAAAGAGAAACCGACTTAGAAATTTCACTGAGGTTTTCGTGTTTGTACTTAGTTTTGATGGTGGTGTTTAAAGTATGAAATAAATCTATCTTGAGGAGAGAGATAAAACATTAAAAGACAGAGCTGTGATTCAAAAGGATCCCAAAGGGTGAAGCAATTGATTGAAACGCAAATACTAAGTTTTGCTTGTAGGTTCAAGTGACCAACTTAAACAACACGGTGCAGAATCTTGTTTCACTAGCAATAAAGTTGGAAAAGAAGCATCAATAAACTCAAGGTGAACTCAGAGTCTTTTGAACAGAGAGCTGCGTCCCAATACTTGTCTTCTGGCTGCCTTGTCGGGCACGAGGCTTCTGAATTCCACGAGAGCTAATGAGACACTGTCATGGAGTTTTGGGAGAAGTTAATGACATCTATGCAAATGGAGCCTACGGAACTGTGTATGCCCTGGTCATAATTTGTTGCTGTGGGCCATGCTGACCACAAAACACCTCTAATGTGGTATTACCAGAAAAAAAAAGGTCCAGGTTTAATTCAGCTCAGGAGAGCACTTCATGCATGCCATTCCACACTCAGACAGCACCTCTCTACCACATAGAGTAAGCCCTCGGTGTCGGAAACGCGGAGGTAGAAAAGGAGAAAGGAGAAATGTATGATGGAGCAGCCCCTGCAGGTCCGCTCTAAGACTCCTCATCACTTTCCTCTAAGTCACAGGGCACTGTGGACAGCCACCTCCTCTTTAGATTCCAAAAACAGATACAGATCTGACTCTTCCTGCTCTGGGCTCCCAAGCTCCTATGGAAGGTGCTGTTGTTTCCAATGTGGGTAAACCTTGTGTGGGCAGAGTGTAGCCTTCATCACAAAGCTCACTGGTGTTTTCTAGCCTGCTTCCCTGAGACTATATTAGCAAATCAAATGTATCGTCCCTAAGTGTACTTGTCCCAAATATTCCACGGGGCAAATTAATACTAAAAATTATTTAGTGCCATTATTTGCTGAATATAGCAACTTCAGTCATTTCACTATCAGGTTTTTGGCAGAGGAGTTTTTTTTTTTAATTTTTAAGATT